GTGGATGGCAAGATTGTGTCCCAAAACCACAAACAACTCACGTCCGAGTTCATCGCTTACAGGCTCTCCAACTCAATATCCACACTTCCAACAATGAGCGTCCAACATGTCATTGACCTTGTGAAAGCCATCTTTCACTACAAGGTGAAGTACGGCAAGGCATGGAAGGCAATGAAGTGTGCCAACTCACTCGGATCTGAAGGATTTGGGAGAGGGGATTGAGAGGGGGAGAGGAGGAACCCGCCGCGCCGCTGCTTCTGTTACTTCAAAACTGACCAATGGGTGGGGTGCGGGAGGGGGAGCGGGCGCCTGGCGTCTAAGTCACAGTGCAGCGCCTACGGTCTGGGCGCTGCACTTTACAAGTGTGGCGCCTAGCTCGGAGGCGTTGCACTGCTGGTTGCGGGCCCAGGGGCTGCCACGGTGGACTGGTGTGCAACGCCCCCGGGCTAGGCGCTGCACCGTAGAGTGTGGCGCCGTCGTGGCGAGCGCTACACAAAAAGGTTAGAGCTGTGAAATAGTTTCACGGCCAGTTCATTCCGTGAATTGATTTCGTCCATAGGTCAAAATTATCAAAATTGCCGCAAAAATTAGGTATCTGCATGCATGTCTGGCAGTGACAGCATATCGGATTAAAAAAACAACAATCTGCATGTCGTGCATTAGTGTTATATCGACGACCACCTTAGGCCAGTTATTTAATCGATGATTGCATCTATATCTATACTACTATTAAAAGAGTAAACATAATTTTGTCTAAAGCCACACAACAAACTGTACACGGGATAACCCGGACCCTCCGATCAAATCAACTTAAACACATCCTACTGACCATATTACATCAATAATCTGCCATCTTAATCAACGTCTGAGATTAAATGTTCTGCCTAGCGGACGCCCGTCTGCTAATCCTCCGCGCTCCGCGTCTATAGATCCCCGCAGCCTCGCCCGCAACTTCCTAATTTCCGGATCGATTCCATGAATCAGCAGCAAACCTCGCGTCGCCGCTCCTTCCTTCCCTCCTCCCGTGCGCTCCCCCCCCCATTCACCCTGCCTCCCGTTGCCGCCTGCGCTCCTGCAAGCCGCCGCCGACCTCCTTTGTCGGTCAGTCGTGCCCAACGCCCTCCTCCTCCTTTCTCTCTTCCTCTCTCCGTCCCCGTGCAGGACGCCATGGCCATGGACCAAAGCTCCGCCGGACCTTCCATCGCGACTGCCAATCTTCCTCCTGACCAGATCACCGTCGCAACTGCTGCGGTCCAGGCTGGCCGCCGTCTTTTGCGGGTTCGTGGCCACGTTTTCCTACTAAACCGTGGCCGCCACTTCCTGCTAGATTAGCGGATAGGGAGAAGAAGGAAGAAGTTGCAGTAATCAGAAGTGGCGAACCAGGGAGGGGACACAGTATGAATCGTGAGATAAACTTCGACTGAAAAAACATGATTCTAAGGTTAGCCCCTTTTCTTCGCTAATGTCTGATCCTTTCTCCTCTGCCCCCAGATTTTTTTTCTGGTAGGTTATGTACTCTAGAACACCTATGCTAGGCTACGTATTTTTTTTCTGCGACAAATCATGGATTAAGTTCTGCGGCAAGTTGTGTTCACAACTTTTAATCTAACTGCGTTCTTACATAAGAGCAAATTTTCCCAACAAACGGCAGAACAGAGGCCCCTCTTTCAACTTGCCGCAGATTGGTTATCCCATAACCAGATGTCAGAGGGAGAAATTCAGCTCCATAACCTCCATATAAATACCATCATCCTTGTTCCCTCCTTCCCACTTCTGTTACATGTTTATTTTTCTGTGTTGGCATGTCCTACGAATGCTGCACTTTTTTTGCCCTTCTCAGTAAATTGTTAGAAACCTAGACTCATGCGCAAAGGAATTATTTGATTCAGTGCTTTGTCAGATAAAAAATAGAATCTTTCTAAGTAGCACATGTCCTATTTTGCAGGTGATATATACTCGAGGGCATGAAGACGAGTATTTAATAATACTCCAGGTGAGATATATGCAGGTGTTATGAATTGTGGTTTCGAGGAAAACAATGATGGAACTCAATATGCAGCCGCTAAGTTTGTTTCTGAAGCTTGATCAACATCTTTTATCGAGCAGTGCTATACACACGATCGTGTGCAGACGATGTGTGCACGACAAGGCAATCAGCTCCGTCCATTGCATGGCAACAGCAGGCAGCAGGCCGCTAGATGTGTATCGTGCAGTGGTCGTGCACACATTTGTCGTCTGTGAAGCAGTTCCGTCTTTTATCAGCTGTTAATTAGTACTAGGATTCATATGCATGTCTACTATTTTTCAGGAAACTCAAGACATGATGGTTCTGTTTTGGACGGAAAAGAAAAGTAGGACCACTGTGTTAACCCAATGCTTAGGTGATTAACTGCAGATCAAACAATTTTTATCACCTGTTTACGCAGTATGGAAGTGCACATTGTTATTGGTGAGTGATCTTCTTGGCATATGCAGATTTTCTGCATTCTGAATTTTTAGCCCTTGTGATTCTTGTAGGTTATGCTTTATTCAGGCATATCACTTGTACTTCCATTGCTCTACATTTTACTTAAATCACATATTTGACACCTTGTACAATCTGCAGTTAATTACAAAATCCCCAGAGTCGCAGAGGTGTTCTAGACTATTTCATTAGTCCATTTAGAGCATGTCAAATGGAGCATCTTATTTAGGGATAAAATCAACTTTCCTCTGAAGTCTGTTGCTGGTACCACTCTTTTATATGGTGGTCTGAACTAGTCACGCTCTTGTGATAGATTACTACATCTAGCTGAAGTTAATAGCGCAAGGTGCTTGCTTAAGCTGCCAGCATGTAAGAAATACTAACATATTTGTTACCATTGTAATATGATATCTCAATTATGGTGCGCGTGTGCGTATGCGTGTGCCCTTGTAGCTGGTCTATTTGCAAATGGAACTGCTCCAAAAAATTCAATTAGAGCTAGCTGATAGTGACAGATAACTACATCTATGTGAACCTGCATTGTCCTACAGTCATACATACTTTGAGCTAGCTGATAGTGACAGAGTACTACATCTATGTGAACCCGTATTATCCTGTTATGCTTCTCTTGACCCTCTTTGCTTTGCATTTCAAAAATTGACCCTGAATTTCTAAAAACATGCTTTCCTACTGGTAAACTGGTAAGCTACATATGTAGTGTACTGGAATGGATAGCAATTAGGATAGCAAAAGTGGGGAATCGGGAGTACCTCAAATCGGAAATAAGCACAACAGAGTGCCGAAGTGGGGAATAAACAACCAACGTCGGCTTGTAGTTGCAGGGGCACCAGCCGCCGCGGCACTGCTGCCGCTGCACCTGGGCAGCATGCAGCGCAGCCGCGCAGGGTGGTGGGAGCCGCCGACGAGCGGAGTCTCCGAGCGCCGGGCGAGCTAGACGGAGAGGAAGGACGCGCAATTGCCACGGCAGATGATCCAGTGGAGATGAGTCTCATGCCTTTGCGCCCGCCTCCGTCAGCACCTAGCACTGGGTCGGCCCGCGAGCATGCCGAGCTCGAGCGGATCCTCGGGCACTTCAGCGACCAATTCGACGAGGAGGAGCTGAGAAGAGCAGGGGAGTGCGAGACCTCGCGCCGGCGATGGGGACAAAGGGAAGAGGCGGCCTGATGAGGTAGAGAGATAGAGAGAGAGCTATGGCCACCATGAAATGGGGAGCGGTGGTGAGAGAGCTGTTGCCATAATGATGAAGCGTCAGGCGTGGAGAACTGAGATGGAGCATCGAGTGTGTCTCATTTGTTTTTATTTTTTCTTGATCGACAGCCCTTTTGGTCAAGTAACAAGTACCGCACGCATTAGTTGTAAAAAAGAACAAATATATACGCACATACACTTAAAAAATACACGCGTTGGAAAATTTATTTTTTTTGAACACAGTACAGACGCACCCACTCATATATACGCACATACACTCACCTTATGAACTACACACACCCTACCCCTATGAGCACCTCCAAGAGACTGAGCCGACATATCGTATTAGATTTTACAAAGTCACCGATGGAAACGTCTACTCCCACTGAACGCGCATCGTCGAAAATCCTGAAATAAATTTAGGATAAATGTAAGGATCGGGACTTGAACCTTGGTGTGCTGGGGATACCATTGTCCACCTAACTATTCAACCATCCAATAAATTCATTTTTCTATGGATGCCTTTTGGTCATTTTCAATCTGGCGTGTTCGGTTTGACTCTTTTTGTGGGTAGAACTTGTATTACTGTAGAAGTTCAAAATTACAATCCTCCTTACATAAATCAGTAACCTCTCTAAGTTTGGAGGCCGACCAAACGACATTTCTGCTTGCAGTTCTTGCAAATTTAGCAAAAAAAACACTAACCACATTCTGAGTTCGATTGAGATGAGTAATATGAGTCAGATGAAAAGACCTCAAATGCTTGATCTCCGCTACCAAAGACTCATAGGCTCGGTAAAAAGGATTGGCTAGAAAGTAAGATTTAAAATAGATGTTTTTATTATAGATTATACATGCATTGTACGTGCATATTTACTAGTGATAAAAGAAAATCTGCATTGCGCGTACATTCCTTACTTTTCTACATAATTAGCCGGCAAACCAATCCCGAAAAACATGTCGCGAGGACATTTTTACAAAAAAAACCTCTAGCTTCTCCCGACCAAACCTGCGCTCCTTGTCGTCCTCCTCCGACAGAAGCAGCAGCTGCGCTGCTCTCCGCCGCCGCAGCTTCCCTGCTCCCCGCCGCCGCAGCTGCCCTACTCCCCGCCGCCGCAGCCCCCCCTGCTCGCCCGCTCTCCCGCCGCAGCTGCCTCCTGCTCCACTGCCGCAGTTGCCGCCCTCCTGCCTCCCCAAGCTCCCCTCTTCCTCAAAAAGATCTTCAATTTCCCCAGCTACCGCCACGCTCTGCTCCGGCTGCGCCGGAACTGCCGTCGGAGAGCCCGGAGGCGCCGGATCTGGACCACCAACAACAACGTCAAGGCCGATGAGCAGCCAGGTGTCGTCCTCGCCGTCGACGACGACGGTGTCGTCGACGCCACGGAGCGAGGGCGAGATCCTCCAGTCGGCCAACATCAAGAGTTTCGCCTTCACGGAGCTGATTTTCAGCTGGCTGCTGCTGCTGCTGCCCCCGGTAGCGCCGGCACCGTGCTGCCGCGTCCGGCACTCGCACCGGCGGCCGGCGGGGCACGCCTTCAAGTACGCCGTGCGCTACGTCCTCGTGGACCTCGACCACCTCGTTGTTGTTGTAAATTTTCCTCATTTGCGCTGAAGTGAGTCAGTTCTTTGTTTGATGAAGGCGTCTACTGACGGTACCCAAGAGCGTGGGGTACGATCAGAGAACAAGATGAATAATCAGCTACTGCTATGACGCAGCAGTGCAAGAACAAGATGAACACCTCAACATGTGCATTGCTGGTTAGTGTTTACATCTCCATCTTCTCTGTTACTCAAATGTTCTGAACTTTCTGAATCTCTGAACCACTTTACTGAATGTGAGTAAAATCTGTTCATTTTCTGAACCACTTCACTGAATGTGTGTAAAATCTATTCATTTTCTGGTTGGAATATTTGGACTAGTTCTGCTAGTTTAGAGTTTGGAGTATTTGCACAGTTAACTGAACAATTTTGCACAGATAACTGAACAGTTTTGCAAGCATTCGATCTATAAACAATTTTGTTTTCTGTAAGATTTATACTGTCTCTAAATTCAGTCATGAACTATGAACTCTGAAATTAGTACTGTCCCAATAGCATTTTAAATATTTAAGTTAGGACTGCACTTTTAAAGTTCAAGATACTCCTGTAAATTAAACCTCAACTTGCAGAGTTGTTGTTTTTAGTTAACTGAAATTATAGTGACTACTACTTTTTCCTTCTCCTCTGTTCTGAAACTTCAGCTATCATATCTACAGTACCTAGCTACTGTCAGAACAGAACACTGTATATCTATAGCTTCATTTTAGAAATTTAATGAGTGCATTTCTAAAATGGCAAAGATTATGGCGCAAAGATTAGTTACATCACATCAAGCATGCCATTCCATCTTTGATTCTGTTTTTGATGGAGTACTAGGTAACCTTGTGAAGTGAATAATGAGCATGGGCAATAAATATCCACTACTACTCCCACATTATGTCTTTGATTCTGTTTTTGATGGCACTAAATATTGAAAATACTAGCAGAAGTAATATTGTTAACCACTGGGCCCCAAGGAGATATCATCATCAGTAGATATCTACAGTTTTATTACTGGAGCCACCATACAAACCATGCAAACCTCATATTCTTTTGTTAGCTGAGAAGATCTGCTCTAGCATTTAGCATAAGGATTACCACCACTACTATCTTATGTTGTGTAGGTACTTAGAAGTTAATTAGGATCTTAGCTTAGAAGACCTGCTCTAGCACTAAGCAGAAGTTAATTTGGAGTACTATGACTTTTTAACAGTCTGTAAACGGGGCACTTGCTTCGCAGGAAAATTGAAACTGAAAAATTGCAAGAGTTTTGCTTGATGTTATACTGCTATCTCATATTGAAACTGAAAAAGTGAAAATTTGTAAGAGTTTTGCTTCATTTGGAGTACAAGTCCAAATCTGTATTGACAATACATGTTCTATTTTTCTATTGTTGATCAGATCCATATTGTCCTAAATTGCAAAGTAAGTTAGCACAAATTCAGTTTTAATCCAAATTATTCAAATAAATCCAAATATTTTAAATTAATCCAAATCAATTCAAATAAATCCAAATAACCCAAATTAATTCAAATAATCCAAATTAATCCAGTTAATCTAAATAACCCAGATAATTCAATTAATCCAAATAACCCAAATTCAATAACACAAGGATTAGACAAGGCATACATAAGGAGATGACATAAGAGCCTCTTTGTCCCCTCTTGACACAAGATTACACAAGACATACACAAGGAGCACCTGACTACATGACATAAGGGCCTCTTTGCCCCCTCTTGACTACATTCTTTCTCTGGCCACTTCTTCCCTTCCCTTTACTTTTTTTCTTTTCCCTTCTCTAGCTAATTCTTTCCTTTCATTTTCTTTTCCTATTGCAATTTCCATTTCTTCTATAGTGGCCCTAGTATCAACAACTACCCGACTGTCGCAATATACATTGGTTATTTCCAGTCCAGCATTTTGAAAGCGATCCTTGTGCAAGTGGGGCAACTTATATTGATTTCCTCCTTTGTCTTTCATAACTTCAAACATAACTGCTTCTAATGTGATAAAGCTTCTGTGCAACTTGTCGGGATCGTAGTTCTCGAATTCCTCTTCCACACCCTATACCAGTTCCTGGATGTTTGTAGGTGACCTGTAGTCGGTTAGAGACTGGAGAGAGTTATGGAAGCAGAGGTCCAAACAATTTAACTCAGGGCTATTTGGGGGCTGTTGTAGTAATCGGATGTCAAGATCAGTTTGTTCCACAACTTCTCGAAAAGCTACATCATTGGGAAGGACATGAGGCTTTGCGTTATCCTGTTGGATGAATATTGTTGCTCCCTCATCATCGTCAGGCCACTTATCCTAAATTGTCCGGATAACCTTATTGATCAGATAATCTCTCCACACAGGCCTGGTTACTTTCACTGATGTCAACACTTTTGTTCCCTTTGTTTTGTTCTGACTTGTCCGCTTCGCCTCACTCTCTTCGACGAATGCCAAATGCCGATCTTCCCATCGAATGTTAGCTCCCCCTCATTGTTATATCGAGGCCTGGCAACAGCTGTTAGGAACATTACCTTCCCAATTTTGTGAGTGTTTGACACGGTGCGCTTTGGTTCAGGCTCTCTTGGAAGTACATAGTAACTATTCTTCACTCTCGTCATGTCAAACCACTTCTCATCGATGTGAACCATATTCGTCATTGGTTTGAACATAGCCCGAGAAGTTGAGATTGAATTGTCATCGACCATGGACATACAAAATTTCAATCTCGCAAGCTTGTTCTCTAGCTTGAGGTGAGGCTTCACGGTGCTTGTGATGCGGTTGAGCTCATTCAACTGGAACCTCTTATGTAGGGTCGATCGGGCCACACCTAGAGACCGTGCCAGAGATCGAATTGTTCTTCTTTTATTTAGTGGGATTGTTGAGGTCCTCTCTAGATCTAGCTCCTTTCTCTTTCGGCCAGATCTTCCCGGCTTCTTGCTTGAGACATCTACTTCTTTGCCATCGGCAATTTGCTTTTTGGTGTCTTCCCAGATTCTTTCAACAGATCGTACACTTATGTCCAACAGGTTTGAGACTAGCAGCTTGTCGTCTGGTTGAACAGACCCATCTCTGAGCTCGATTACCAGCAAGGCGAAGTAAACACCATGCCTCTCCTTATCTGACAATTCTCTTCTCTTTTCTTGAAGTATCCAATTCATAACTTCATCCTCTTCCTCTTGAGCTTCATCCTCTTTCCCTTCATCTTCTTGAGGCATCCAATTCATATCTTCATTGTCTTCCTCTTGAGGCATCAAGTTCAAATCCATAGCTGCATTCTTTGCCACTTGAGGTTCCTCCTCTTGAGGCATCAAATTCAAATTAATACCTTCATCGTCTTCCTCTTGAGGCATCATGTTCAAATCAATAGTTTCATGTTCTTCCTTTTGAGGCATCAAGTTCAAATCCATAGTTATGTTTCCTGCCATCAATGACAAAAGATGAGTACACCATGGTACCATAACAAGAATATACACACACAAAATGAGTATGCAAGTCAAACAAGAAATGCATTTGCACTAGTCAGACAAGAATACACACATACAAAGTAGTAGTAGGAGTACCACTGTCAACACTTTTGCACTAGTTCTGCTAGATATGATCATGAGTAGATATCTACAGTTTTACACTGCATTTTAACTGAATTTTCAGATTATGATCATGAGTACTCCATACACATGTCCAGATTAAACAAAAAGTATCATGTTCAAGCCAAATTTTGAAGATTGCAAATGACCATGACCATGATCAGCAACAATTTTGAAAGCAAAATTCAGTAAACAAAATTCTGTCAGTCCTGTCATTTTGTTTTCAGTCAGATTTGTATCCGCTGGGCACTTTAAATTTAGATTAATTCAGATCCATGTTGTCCTATATTGCTTACTGCAGCTAGAGTGGAAGTAGGAGTAGGAGTAGCTTCAACTACAGTAGGAAAAAAACTACAGTAGGAGTAACACTGTAATAGTGTCCTTGGAGTAGCCAGAGGACATGTGTTGATGATCTGCTAGGAGTATCGGTTTGGAAATACTTTGGCATGGTTGAACTGATGCTTATTTTTGTTTTTCTCTCTGCAGGAGCAGATTTCAGTTCAGAAGCAGATTTTGTGTTGCAATCATCACACTTAGGAGTAGTTTGTCATTTTAAATGGTCATTTAGTTTCAGTTCAGTTAACACTTCCTTGCTTCAGTAATTAGTTCCTGATATTGTCCAACATATGTGAATTAGTTCCTGATATTGACATTAATTTTTCATGTAGGCTCAATGCTCCTGATATTAGAGCAACTTTTCATTTCTGAAACTTTTAGCCTCAAATTGCAGACCTCCTGGTGCATCCCTTGAATAACAAAACATGCAAAAGGCTGGGAGGTCTGAACTCTAGCCTATACCTTTTGTGACAAATTTAGTAATCAACTGTTATTGCTTTTTTGTAGAGGTCCATCTTGAAGCATCTTTACTATAGGAGTACTCTGTTTAGAACATGAAGCAAATTCAGTAGACATTTTTACAAGAATTCAGTAGATTTCGTCATTTGGATAGGAGTATTTCTCTGCTTCATTTGTCAATTGGATCAAGATGCTACTCTACTTCACCATAAGAAGAAGTATTTTTCTGCTCCATTTGTCACACAGTTTTACGTCACCATCATAAGCAGAAGTACCAATTGAAGTTTTACATCACCATCACACAGTTTTACTATACCTTCTTCAGGGTGCAGTGTAGTAGCAACAGCAGCACGGGCAGGGTCAATGAGCATCAGCACGGGCAGCTCAGTGGAGCAGCAGCAGCACGGGCAGGGTCAGTGGAGCAGCGGCAGCACGGGCAGGGTCAGTGGAGCGGCAGCAGCACGGGCAGAGACCACCGGCGACAAGGGAGAAGCAGCCGCACGGGTGTGTCGGTAGGGGAGAAGGAGCAGTACGGGTGCGCGGGCGTGGGAGATCGACGAGGCCGCTCTGGAGATCGAGGATCACGTGCGCGAGCTCCTGGCCCACCGGACCATGGAGGCAGGCTCCGGCGACGCCGATAGGGGATCACGGCGGCGCATGTGCC